CAAATTTTCAAATATATATTGTGAGAAATATTTTTGGCCATATTGCCCTGCCCTACCCCTTAGTACATATAATAAATAAAGACGTGGTTTTGATGACCATTAGAATATATGTTTGATTTTTCCAAGGCAGAGATCACCCTCACCAACTCCTTATGCAGATCCTTCTTATGAACAAGTGCATTTTTAAGTCTTATAAAAGTTACAAACTCTTGACTCCTGCTGCTCAGGAGCCAAGAGTTTGTAACTCCAAGCATTCTTCTCAAAAAACATTGTGTGGAAACTTTGTCCCAACAGGGTTGCACAACCTAACACACATGTGCTACACTTTTTCCATTTGCTATAAATCTTCTTTCTAACTCATCCCAAACCAAAAGGGGTTTCACTCTTCACTGACATGGTTTGACCATTTTCTCCTAAACCTTCAGCTCGCTGTAGGATAAACCTGAGACCAGCAAGTCCTACTTTATCTGTTACTCACAGTTGCTGCTTCCTCCAATTTGCTTTATCCTATTTATGCATCAGACAATGTCGTACTATTGTTTGTTTTAACTGTGCCTTAGTATAAATGAAGCTTCAGGCCAACTTTACTTCCACTCACTGTGAGAAAACTTTCCAAAAGAAAAAATTAAGCGTTTCCTTTTCAGGGTCTAACAAACATTTAAACTGGGAATCTTAAGTACCCGCTCAAATAATGAGCTCAGTTATCAGCACAAAGCTTTAGACTGCTCTAAACGCTCAGTTTGATAAAGTTTTTTTCCCTACTCCTGACATGACATGACTATAAAAGTAGAAGCTCCGCCCACCTGCTGTTCAAACTCAGTTTATGAGGGGCAGCTAATCAGAACAAAACTGGTTAAATTAATTTAATAGACATTAAATGTTGAACAAACTAAATAATGCAGTGGTCCCCAACCCCCAGGCTACGGGCCGGTACCGGGGTGTGGAATTTATGGTTTTCAGGGTTTTTAAATTGGCTTTTAGTGTTATTTTTAAATCTTTTTATCCTCAACTCTGTTTCCCTGGGTCTTTTCTCGTGTGCTATGAATAAAACGTCTTTTTTTGCTACTAATTTTATTTTGTTGTATTTATCCACGACACCTTAAAGCCGGTCTGTGAAAATATTGTCAGGCATAAACCGGTCCGTGGTGCAAAAAAGGTTGGGGACCGTTGAAATAATGAACAAATGTGCCGACTTCAGCTCATTAGCGTTTCTCACATTAATTTCAAGTTTGGATTTTATGCGTCATTAAAAATAAGTGGCTTAATTCCACTCAAAGCTAAACCTGAGCTAAAAGCTAAAACTTTCGTTTTTGTCAGAAAAGTCCTTCAAAATCAATCGTTTTACCAGAACAGCATCTAAAACTCAAATATATTCTGTCCAGTCATTTACAGCACATTTCAGGCTAAGCTGCAGACCATTCAGTTTTTCTGTGCAGAAACAATAACTTCCAATCAACTAATCGACTATCAGCGTTCAAATGACCTTACTTGCATGTTATGCAATGAATTCAGCCAGACTTTAATATTTATTTAACACCATTTATGGATGTGGAAATGTTGATCCGCTTTTTATTTATTTACCTTTTCAGTGTCCAGAAAACTGACTGTTCACTCGACCTCCTTGTTGTGGACGTAACCTCACAGAGTTTGTACTCGACAAACACACCCGCACTAGTAGCCTGTTTATTGATCCAATAACAGCTTCTGCTCAACAAATCCCCCCCATCACTATGGAGACCAGCTCCTCTCCCACGCACAAGGGACTGCCTCTCTAAAAATACTCCGAATACGCGATCTGTGATGCACTGCATATTCAGCATTGGGATGAACACAAGATTATATAAGTGACTCTGCGACTACTATAGGATTATTGCAGGATTTCTATAATCCTACGGCAGATCTGAAACCTCTTAATCACAGGCAGTTTCTCTTGTCAGAGATTTTTTTTTTTTAAACCACAGCACACCAACACATCAACAGAAGAAGAAAAGTAGGAAAGCTGGTTGGGCCTGTTATCAGTTTTTATTTCAGCACCAGTTCATAACAACAGTCATCTGGAGGCGGTTTATACTGCAGGGTAAAGACCGTACAGAGAGAGAACCCCAACAACCAGATCATTCCTGATAAGAACCCGGAAGCTATGGGCGGGACACGCTCTTTTTTAAGATGAAGAGCGCTCCATTTGTAACTGGCTCTGGGAGGGCACCAATCAGCAACGACCGGGGGAGTGAAGATAAAGAGAACAGAAGCGCACAGGCCTCTGTGACCCTGTAAGGGTCTGTGAAAGGTGCAGGCTTAGAAAGCTCCTATTTCCAGTGTACTCACATGTGTCCAGAGGACCAGATTACTGTGATACTGACATCAAACAGTATAGTCAGATTTATCTGATCAATATTTTACATGATTATTCATCAACTTAATCATCATGCATTTAATATAATTTTTTAAGTGTGTGGTTACAGAAGTTTTTCTTGAAATAGATTTTTTTTAAAAAATGAATAAATAAATAAAAAGTGGAAATGGTTGGACACGCGGGGTTGTTGATAGGAAGTTAAGCCCAGAAGGTGGGGCGTTTCTCACCAAAAACACCATCTCATTAAAGGACAGCGGTGGAGATATCTGTGGGTGTAGGCAGCTACAGACAGCCATAAGTGATCTTGTCAGAGGTTTGAAGGCAGTAACATTGTTCCTAAAAGTAGTTCTAGATCAAACTTGTTGATCAAAGATTCTCGTTGGCTTGAGCTGAACTGAACTGACTCTTTAAAAGGAAAAGGGAAGGTTTGGTTGATTAAGCAAAGGGATGGGATGGCTGTAGCTCAGGACATAGAGCAGGGTCATCTTCTAATCAGAAGGTTGGCAGTTTGATCCCTGACTGCATACTTTGTTCAAGACACTAAGCCCTGAGTTGCTCTCTGATCTGTTCATCATGTGTGGATGTTAGAAAGCGTTAAATGCATTCGAGTGCTCAAGAAGACAAACAAAAATCTGTCCATTTACCACTCACATTGGAAGGTGTTAATATCTAAATGTATGGTGCAGGATAACCAATCAGACTCTAGCTTTCATTGGTTCACGCCAAAGTTCTTCCAGAAGTCGTGCCCTTAGCAGCTTCCTTTGAAATGCTTCCAACATTCTTTCGAAGCTTCTATCTTAACGAATGGGAAGAAAACAAATATCTGACATTTTACTTCCACGCCCAGCAGGCATACTTGCCACCACAAAGCTGAAATGTTGTGAAACTATTGTGCACATGCACTCTTTGTTAATTTTCTTCATTTGAGCACCATGTCTCCCTCTTTACATAATTTCCATTTCCAATTTACCAGGCTGACTTCTCGAGAAGGCAGACCACACAGGTGGCAACACAACAGAAACAAACATCAGGCCAAAACATTTTATAATGTTAGTGGATCACAAATATCCAGTGATCTGCACAACTGTCCAACTTTGTTAAACCTACAACCTGAAGTGTTGATCTACGACAAATATTTGGCACTTTTGTGGGCTCGAAAGGCTCGGAGGAGACTTAAAAAAAAAGTTACATTTTTGAACTCCGAGGTCAGATCAGGGTGTGCAGCTGGTAACGATTCGGTGTGTTGCTAAAGGTTGCTCATGGCGCTGGATTGTGAGCTGCACCTCTGAGCCAAACCACAACACCAAGCTTCAACAGCTGCTTATTCTGAAGCTGAAAACACACAAATGCACAAAGACTCATGAATACA